GTGCCACTCTGACAAGAATATACCAAAATATGGAAGGAATTTTATAGTGTGTTTCATGTTTAAGTTTGTGATCCATTTTGAGCTAATTTTTTGTTACCTATGAGACTTAGGCTGAGGTTTATTTATTTATGCTTTTGATATCTAACAGTTCCAGTACAATTCATTGACAAGTCTATCCTTCCTCCATTGAATTACTTTTGTAACTTTGTCAAAAATCAGTTGGGCATTTTTATGAGTCCTACTTTAGTTTTTAATATTTATAGTGAATCAAAATATAAAACCTTTCAGATTCCTGTGGTCTAAGAATAGACTTAATATCAATACAGTTATGGCCTTTATCCCAAAGACAGAAATAACCATGCTTCCAGCTTTCATTAATAATAATAATAATAAAAGACAACCAACTGGTATTGCTGTGGAGTTAATTTGGACTCAGCCACTGTGGTGGTTAAGTTTGAGTGTCACCTTCAACTTGGCTGGGCCTGATTGAGTGCCTGGGCAGCTGGATGTAGTTATTCCCCATGGTGAGACTGGTAATTAACTCCATGGTAAATCTATTAGAGCAACTGAGTAGCTGCTTTGGCTATGTGGTCTGCTTCCTGTATATGGAAACAGCTTTGGGAATGGTCTCTAGCTTATGGCACACTTGAACCCTGCATGTAGCCATGTCATTGTTTAGCAGCCTGCCATGCTCTGCCAACCTGGGACTTGCAATGGACTTGAATTAATGACCTGCCGTGTGGTCTGGTAATATTGGGACTATGCTTTTCACTTGTCAACCTTGGGTTTGTCAGACTCAGCAGCTAGCAGCTGTATGAGTGAAGAAAAGACTCCAGCTTCAGTGGGCCAGGAGCAGGAGGCAGAGCTGAAGCCCAAGGCTGAAGGGCTTTCACCCAGCCCCTAGAGCCTGGAACTTTGAACTTGGACTTAAAGCCTCAAAACTAAGACAATAAAGTCCTGTTTGTTCAAGCCATCCCATTTGTGGTACATTCCTGTCAGAGCAGCACTAGGTAACCAAAACAGCAGCCCTATAGGAGAGAATAGAACTGGCCCATAGGGTTACCAAGGCTGAAAGTCTTTGCAGAAACAGAGTGCCACAACTTTCTTCTGTGGAGAAGTTGGTGGGTTTGAGTCATCAATCTTTGGGTTAGCAGACAAACATATAAGCACTGTGCCACCAGAGCTCCTTAAAATGGCAAAGCATGAAGAGTTATTTTCCAATGAGAGTCTACTTCTTTGGACCCAGAACTGGATTATTTATTTATTTAGAATGAATTATTTATTCATTCTAAATAATTTGGGTTGAGTGAATTTCTGATTATTCTCAACTGTATTCAGGGTTAACCCTCCTTCACCTGATTGCACCTTTAATTCCCTTGAGCACTGCTTCTCTCTTTCTTCCATTCATATCTGTGTCATGAAATATATGGAACTATTGTGATAACCTGATCCATATCATATCTTCCAAACTGGGCTTGGAATATATACTACCTGTTATAGTCTTCAAATTTTTTTTAGGAATTATCTCATTATACAAGAGTTGTTGTTGTTGCTATGTGCCGTCCAGTCGGACCTGACTCATAGCGACCCCTCCTTGGGTTGCCAAGGCAGTATCACTATGGAAGTAGATTGCCCAAACTTCCTTCCAAGGAGTGACTGGTGGGTTTGAACCACCAGTCTTCTGGTTAGCAGTCAAGTGCCTTAGGCACTATGCTACTAAAGTTCCTATTATACAGGAGATCTCCATTAATTGCTTGATTGGGAAGGAAAAGTATCTCAGTGAGAACTCAGAGGAAATTTGGAACTGGTGCACTGAAGCAGGATGAGAGTTAGCCAATATGTTAGTCAATACTTTCTAAAAAGATGATCAAATTGCTATGACTTTCTGCAAGCCAACAAGCAAAAAAATATTTTAAGATTCCTTTTCCTCTTCTAAATTAATTTTACAGTAACTTCCTTACTGGTTACTCTTTTTTTTTTAATCTTCCTCCACCTTCCCCTTTGTGTCTTTTCTCCTCTGGTCTGTAATCTGGAAGATGACTTCTAAAGGCTTTAATTACAGTGGCTTTCTTACCTGCTGACTTATAGCTGAATTTAGCCCATGGGAGAATATGGCAAGAGACAAAAGATCAGAGGGAGGTATCTATTCTTCCTCTTCCCTCTCTGATTCTACACTGTCTTATTAACAACTGTATCCTCATACAATTACAGCTTCTGCCATATGGCACCTTGTCCATGGCTCCAGCTTTCAACTTCTTCCTTTTCTTGCCCCATTAGTTCTGGAATTCCTGCTATTGCTGATCTCTGAAAGTTGCAACATTCCTGGTTGGTTTCCTTAACCTGTTCACATAGTCTGAAACTAGTCCTTTAATTAAAATTATCATAAAAATTCCCAGTTTGGTTTGACAGCCTGTTTTGGTTACCTAGTGCCACTCTGACAAGAATATACCAAAATATGGATGACCTGAAGAAACAGGAGTTTACTCTCTTAAAGTTTGGAGG